AATCGGGGGAGGCTCTGTTCCCCCAGGCACCAGCTGCAGTTACTAGGAATAACAGCCACAAATTGTTAGAGAGCAGGTTCAGGCTGGACATGAGGAGATGTTACTGTACTGTAATGGGCTCCCAAGGGGGTGGTGCTCTCCCCTACCCTGGGGGTCTTCAAGAGGAGGCTGGACAGCTATTTGGCTGGGGTGATATGATCCTGGCACCTGCTCCTGCCTGGGGCAGGGGGTCGGACCTGTTGACCTGTTTAGGTCCCTTCCGACCCTAAGTACTATGATACTAAGGGGTGATCAGATAAACTTACAACCTATTACGTTTGCAGCCACAAACACATAAAGACAAGTAAAAGTTCATTTTCCCTGTCAATATTTATACATTTGCAATTTGATGGCAATATTGTTTAGCAAATATCTAAGGACCAAACCCAAATCTCCACTGAAACTGGCCGAGTTTCCCCATTCAGCTCAACTGGTCAAAGACCTCCAGTACTGAAGGTGGTCTGAACGACAGTCTTTATAAAACAGGAAGAACATTATTGTTTGTACGTTCACCATGTAAAGACCTACTGAAGTAGTCGATCTAGCTCGCTACATACCCTCCATTTTATGCCACACAGCAAAAACAGAGGATAAAAAAAGCCCAGATGTTGAGGTAATGGAAGTCATATAGTTACATTCTAGGTGTTATCTCAAACCTATCGTTCTCTTACCATTTTTCCACTGATGGAGCATGCTAGTGGAGCAATTAAGGATGTTTCGCTACAGCTTCAGAAACACAGGGCTGAGCCCCACCCTGGACTCATGCCCAAGCCTGCCCCCAATCAGCTCAGCTCAAGCGAGTACTTGGTCATTTGAGGAGTCAAAGAAAGCTGGAGGTGATGCTGGAGACACTATTCCCTTACGTGCCACTGGCTACAGACACTGGTGTGCCTTACCATCACTAGCCCAAGGGCTACAAGGTTTGGGTGGACCTTCGATTCTTTTTTCCTTCTGATTTTCCTATTACTTGTTACTATATGAGACGTAGAAGTGATCAACATTGATGGAAAAGAAAACACCACAACAGGGTGCAACTCTTACACAAAATATATTCTAGAGTCTGCTGGATCTTGCTATTACATAATCACCCAGAAGAAATTGTGGCAACTCCGTCCCCTACACTGGAACTATACTTGGATAGTCACGTTTATCCTGTGATAATGACTTTACACATGTGGCTGGTTGAAACTTATTGCACAATTAACCAGTTAATTGTGTAATCATTACTTTGCATGTGTGGCTGGGAACAACTCGGTCGGTAGACCAGACCACTGAATACGCACAGGTCTTTTCTTTGTCTATCACCTATAATTCAAGAGCATTGCAGCAATGGCTGCGGTGACGAGTGAAAGGAAACTTGTTCTGAAAAGAACTAAAGCAGAATTGTTGCAAATACCTGCTGGAAGTTTAGCTGATTTTTATTACAGACCCACAGATCATTTCTGGAGCAGAGTATGGGTTACTACCAGCACTGGTTACTACCATAGCACCGTACTACTGGCTCTGGAGCAGAGAATCTCAGCTACTACTACAAGGGGCCTGTAAGTAGGTAGGTTGGGTAGCAGGGAGGCACTAGTGTTACTACAGATCTCCATTCTCTCATTTTTCCTTCCACATGCATAAATATGGTAATAAATGGATGATGAATCAAAGGGCTAAAGTAGGGGGTGGTTGCATGGGAGCCTTTTTAACACATGACCCATTATCCAGAGCGTTGCCCATCTCTATTACGACAGCACATCATGCCTAGAAGGAGCAGAAGGATTCTTACACACAATATACCATCTGCAGTAAAAAACACTGTTCTGGCAAAGGGGAGAAACACTTCAGACGTTGCCCGTGCCGTTTAGCATCTGGTGCATCCTGCCACCATCCCAGGAGGTGAACTCGGGCCTCGGTCTATGAATCACCAAATTCTAAATCACCAAGGAAACCGATTAAAAACAAAGTCTCCTTCTCTGACTCACTCTCCCAGCTGCAATCTATACAGAAGGTGAATTCAGTTGTCAAGTACCATACCTCCCATCCACTCGAATAAGAAAAAAAAATTGATGTTGCCTTTGGTTACCATTTGAGTATACAACATCTGCCTGGCTTGTCTTACTGTCCAAAGATCAGGCTTTTTATACCTTTTGGATAGCACATGCTGAGAGCTGTCTGTCCTAGCATTCAAATTCGGCAGGAACTACCCAACTTCTCCTATTCCCTTTGAAATGAAGCAGCACAAATCTGAGAAGGTTACAGGGTTGGGAGGACTGTCCAGTCTCCAAGCACCATGCCCCTTTTCCTATTGACTGATAGTATTATAAAACACGCAGTTTCAAACTCGAAGTTAATCATACCGTCAGCTTCAAAAGGCTTTCTTCACCAGAGCACATTCCATTTTACATAGTTAATTAAAGTCAAATGCTATTTGTGAATGTAGCACATTTGTTCAGAGTTCTCAAAATTAACTTTCTACACTAAATTGAGTGTAAATAATACATTAAAATCTAAAGAAATTTAGGATGAAGGTCTTCTTGGCAATAAATTGAAACTTTAAGTTTCCATCAAGTACTACATATCTGTAATTGATTCTTTTTTCCCTGACAAGATCCATTTTACATTTATGCAGAAGCAAATTATACATAATAGTTGTGCTGAAATCCATTAACTTTCCCAAAGCAACCAGAAAAAGCACTTGGCAAGTCTGATCTTTTAACCTATCATCTTTATGCTCTAAAAAGGAGTAACTTCCCATCTGCATCATTACAGCAGAGGTGAGAGGATGACACCATTTTTCTCAATGATGGAAAACAAGGAAAGTACATGAGAATGGCACGGTTGAACTGAAAAGAAAAAACCCCAGAGGTGCCACCTCTCTGAACAGCCTCCGCATCTCCTCCCTTCCAGGGCACCTGCACACAGCATGTGCTTACATCAGAAATTGTGCTAGTCCAATGGGGGCAACCTTTTTGGCAGGTGTACCACAAATTAGCCTCCCCTAGTGCCACTCCAATCTCTTTCTTTTGCCTGATCTGCTTTTCTTTCTGCTCCCAGCTGCCTGCTCCCTGTCTGATCTCCTGCTCTGCTTTCTGCCCTACCTGTGATGCCTGCCCCCTCCCCGATCTGCTGCATGCCACACACACAGGTGCCTGTGCCACTCGGGGTGCAGGTTGGCGACTCTGGCACTGGTCTATTCCAAGGCAGCTCAAGCTACTCTCATACACTTCTGCAAAAAGGCTGTTGTGTGCCTGTCATAAACAAAGCACGGCATTGGTGGCATATCCTGTGCCTTCAAACCTGGCACTTTAAAGCACAAGTGATCAAAATATGTGACAAATTACTGGAACACCTGTGTCTTGTTGAGTGTTGCAACCTCGCTGAAAGATTACAGCGGTTCTTCACTGTGAAACCTCTTTCACAGGTTTACTTTCTTCAGCATATGCATCAAATGCAATAGCTTTGCAATTCATTACAGGGATGGACAATTTGAGGAGGGGGGCTCTGCTCTCTGCCTGGCAACTGAAGAAAGGCCCACTTTCTTATTGGGAATTGGGAGGCACAGGGAGATAGGACAGGTTATTTTCAAAGACGCCAAGCACTCAGATTCCAGCGACAAGCTTTTTAGAAAGCTGGCACTCAACTTTGGCATTTGAAAAAAAGGGAACGCCCATCTCTGAAAATGCTGCTTTACAGGATTTGCCAAAACAACACACAGCAAGCCTGTCGCAGAGGCTGGGACTGGACCCAGGAGAACTGGGTTCCAAGGCAATGCCTTCATCAGTCACATAACCCGCTGTAAGGCAACAGTAAATTGCTGGGAAACAGGAGTCTAGTTTTGGATCTGGGGAAGGAAATGGCGCTTAGGTAGCTGTTAACAGGGATTACAGACCACACAGCCAAGCAAGCAGATGGGGCACATTCATTCTGAATTACGGTGTGGCTACCACATTACACCACTCTGCTCAATTTTTCACGATGCTAGAACTGAACTTGCACCTCTCATGTCCTCTTCTAACAGGAAATGGCAGTTGCCTCCCCTGCTTTCTCTGGTAGTGATAGGAGATGACAGTCATTTCATAGTTTCATAGTTGTAGGGTTGGAAGGGACCTGAGCAGATCATCGAGTCCGACCCCCTGCCATGGCAGGAAAGAGTACTGGGGTCAAACAACCCCGGCAAGGTGTTCATCCAGCCTCCTCTTAAAGACCCCCAGGGTAGGATGTAAAGTGCACCAATCAGTACACAAGGCAACATTTGAACCTGTGGTCTAGTACAAGCACCCCAACCTTTGCCTCGTCTGGGATGCATTGCCCCTGAGACCTTATGGCTGCACCTGCAGTCACAGGAAATGAAAAAGTTAAAAGTCAAGTTGGCAGAGAGCCATCTGATGCTGCAGGCAGTGCGGCTGCTCAGTTTTTCGGGCAATGGTGTGTGTCCGTTGGTCTACAGGTCCCAGTCTTTTCATAATCCAGTGGATCATTTGGATGGGTTAAACTCTCTCTTTTGTCTGCAGAAAACTGTATGGCTTAGTGGGGCATCAGGAAAAGAAGTCAAGGTTGTTTACGAGGCAGAGCATACTGCAAAATACAGTTTGCTTGACAGCCCTGATTTTGGGATGACATTAAGTTGGAAAGTCCATTTGAGCTCTGCAGTTCCCGATTTCCACACTCGTGCTCCATTAACTTGACCGCATTTCCCCCTATATCGAGGGAGATGTCCTTTTAATGAATGCGGGCAGCCTGTTGCTGCTCCACAAAACCGGGTTTCTGGTGTGGCATTCCTGAAAGCATGTTCAAGCTGGTGCAGACAGGGGAAGAGTTTCCCCCTGATCTGAGATTCCTCAACTCCCATGGTCCCACGATCCTGTTCTCACTTTGTTTGGGCTCTTCATTCACTTAAGGGTTTATCCGTTTAAGAAAATGTCTACTTTCAACTAGCACAAGCTTAACATACATAAGAAAGTGTTAAATATTAATACCTTTTTGGCTTCCTCCCCAGTCACTGTACTTCCTTCTGCTTCATCTTTAGTGATCAAAGTAATTTCATCTAAGAAAGAGCAAATCATATAAAAATATCATTACAAGGTTTCCCCAGAAATATGCTTAAATTTAAAATGAAGAGTATATCACATTCAAACTTCTAACTGTCATCAACCTTAGCAAAAGTCAAAAAGTATTTCTCAAAGTATAAGGGATGATGCTCAACAAATGAGTCAACTATCACGACATACAGACACAATTAACGACAATATTAATACCTCAGTGGAGATATCATTTAATAATCTGGTGATACTCTGCAACTGAAATTGAGACTGAAATCATGGATTAAATGAGAAATGCTGAAAATCTATGGGAAATTTGGTAATTACTTGTTCAATAACTTATGGTAGATTCCTCAACCACTAATTATCTAAGAGAAGTTAACTGATATACGAACAAATACTTAGACAAAGAAAAAGTCAAAGCATTTTATGCATAAGCTGGATAGTCTATCTGGAGTGAGATAATTATATGCTACAGACAAATCTCAGTGCATGTGGTATTTGTAAATCCTTTCCCCCAAGAATTGCTCGCCTTATTAGAAATTCTGGTTGATACCACCTATAAGTTACTGTGACAGAATATACTTTCATGGCTTTGGTCAATACAAGTTTTCATTCTGACCCCAATCCTTTCCAGGGTTTATGATGTCGTTATTAAAACTCCCTTAATGCTGTTGCCCCTATAGTTTCAACCTACATATAATATTCTTTGCGTGGTGTCCCATGCTGTTGCTATGCATTATTAAACAACTGCTATGCTCTACCCCGCAAGCAGCTGGAAGAGGCCGTTCCTATATGTAGCTTGCTTTTTTTTATAACAACTTTCATATGGGAGCGCAAATTATTACATTATGACAATATGCACCATTAAAATGCACAGCTGTGCATCTCAAGTACACGCTCATAAGAACTTATTCCAATTAAAAGCAAGGCTATGTTGCATAACGCTTTTTTTAGCGCGTAAGGTTTTGTGCTCATGAAAGCATTTATTTCATATATGTCTCATTCCTCTCAGTTTAATTGTCGTTAAGTGTCATGTTACTATGTATTTCTTCCTGGAGGCTGCTTAAATACAAAGTGATCAGTGACATGTTTCAATTCTGCGAGCTTTCTCTGCCGCTTGATTTGGAAGAGTTTTACCATTTCTCTCCACTGCATCAGCTCTCCATTTATTTAAAAATCTCTCTGACATATCTTCTCTTCCTCACTTCCCTAGTTTAATTTCTCTCTCCCTGTGCTTTACTGCTGTAACTCTTCCTAACCTGGGATAGCATTTCCAAATGTTGCAGGTACAGAAAACTATATAATTCTGGAAAGAATCATAGAATCAATGAGTCGGGAGGGACCTAGACAGATCATCGAGTCTGACCCCCTGCTATGGGCAGGAAGGAGCACTGAGGGTGGCCGGCGTCATAAGACCCCAGCCAGGTATCTACCCAGTCTTCTCTTGAAGATTTCCCGGGAAGGTGAGAGCACCACCTCTCTGGGAAGCCTATTCCAGGCTCTGGCCACCCTTACCGTGAAGTAGTTCTTCCTAATATC